ACTTTTGAAATCAACTTGTAAAGATGTCGAAGTCGACTGGGATGCGAAAAAGGCTTGTGTTGGACAGTTCTCAACATTGCTGGGGGCTTATTACCTTGTAATGAGCAATTCAGACGTTTCTTTGCAGTTATTTGAATATCTTGCCTTTCTATTCTCATTTTTTGTCGTAAATTATTTTAAATTAAATAACTGTTGTTGTCATCATTATTATTGTTACCATGAATATCATTATCATTATTATTGTTATCATTATTACTTATGGTATTATACCAATTATTATTCTCAGCTTTATTAGATCACTATAATCAACATTATGACTTAGTTTTTCAATATGATTATTATTTTTCTATTTTTACTACACAAACGTCTCGGAACACTTCCATTTTCTCGCAGTCGCTCTATCACAAGAATGTTGGGAATGGAGTTAACGTTTTTTTTTTTTTTTTTCATGAAGTTCCGGCGGATTATAATTACGCTGTCAGCAGGGTAGATATCCATGTTGGCACCTGGAACTGCCAATCAGCCAGGCTGGCAGGGGTCTTACCACCTCATCATGCAGCTGTCATTTGCATGCCGTGCGACGCTGATCAGTGTCTTCAGCCGATCATGAATTCTGGATTTCGGAGCGGATACACCTGTACGTTTGAGTGATATGTGTGCCTCTCACTTGAGTTCTTTTAGCAGCAATATAAAAGTGGAAGTGTGTTCAGCTGCATGTGTACGGTCGTGATGCGTTCTCGGTGGAAAGAGTCTTCACTCAGTAAGAGATGTCATTCACGAAATCGTTTTGATAGCGATTTTTTTTTAGATTCATTTTACTTCATTTACAATTATTTCTCGGCATGAATGGCGTCATTGTTCTTAGCATTGTTGCTGTTGGGGCGGGAGAAGGGGAAGGGGAAGTTGACTCTGCCACTGGCACAACCAATTTCTCTACAATTCGTTCGTTTCGTTGATAAATTAGCACTGGTACTAGTACTTTTATACCAGAGGAACAAATCCCTCATCAATCTGCTTGTAGCCAACTCTCGAAAGACGCAGTCATGAACACTTTGCCAGTGGGTGATTGCTATTTGCTATTGACGTTTACCACCACTCAGGTTACTTGTCGATTGCTCTTGCCTCTCATAGAGAGCAAAAGATATTTTACAAGAATTTGATGTTTTAGCAAGTTTTTGCCTTGTCAAACTCATTAAAATGTTATACAGTTAGATAAGAGCCTCAGATACACCTCAGCTCCACCAAATTTAAGGACAGAATAATGTAGACCTCAAACTTGTGGATTTGATGCTAACGCTTAGAGCCTGTAAAATAATTTAAACTCTCTCAACACACATAGTGGCGTAGTTGATTATCATTAACATTGACTACACTCGGAGTCTGAAAGGTCCAGTGCCTAGAGTTCTAGCTACCTCGTATGTCAGGTGTTTTTCTGCAAAAAAAACTTGCTCTCCTCGACCTGCAGCTCACTGTTTCCCATCTGCTTGGTTCTTTCAGGATGGGCTTGGAAAAAAGGGATGAATTATTACCTTACGAATTTCAGCTGCCCCTTTGAATTTGGGCTCAGATGGTTGGGGCAAATTCCTACACAGTTGGTTATCGGCACCGCTTAGATCTAAAACATTGAGTGGATGGAGCCCCAGTTCCAGATGGTGAGCACAAAGCCTGGACGAAGACAAGCAATAAGCGATTGCAGAAGCGTTTGGCATCAGGTCAACTGATTATTTATTACACCGTGATGAACGAATCTGTCCCATGTAATAGCTGAGGAGCATCGCTTCGGTGTTATGCTTTATGAAGTAACAACGGCATTGATGTGATGGTTACCTTTGAATTTCGCTTAAAATTTGTGCTTGTGGCAAGCGCTATATTACAGTGAAGTTGTTGGTAGAATTAGTGATTTCTCGTTCACAGATGTAATTGTGTTCTTTTGCGCCTGATCCTAGCAAGCAAAGTACCAAAACATGGACCAGGACAGACAGCTTTTGATATGAACTGGTGACGCTAGATATACACCAGTTATGTCACGAAACGACTAAAGCCTTGCTAACTGCTTATGCCGGAAAAATCACTGAGTTGGTAATTCCTCAGGAAATGATATGGAAGAGCAAAAACCTTGCTAAATGCTTCTGTCGAAAAAAGTCAGTGATTTAGTAAATTTGTCAAGAAAAAAACGGACCTCATGGCGGCCAGCAGGCTAGCTACCAAGTGATGCGGCACTGATCAGAGAAATTGGAAAAGTTGTTAGCTGCCAACTGGAGAATGACACCATAAAGTGCAGCCTCCAAAACGTCAAATTCCATATGTCCAGCGCTTTTCCCACTTATCCAAACGGTAATTAGAGAGGGTGAAAACATTTTGACAAGGTGATCCTCGTTCATATCCTTCCTCCTCTTGTTTGTGTGATGAAGCCAGCAAAATTGCTGAGTTAAAATTGATCACTACAAACTAGAAATGAAGCACAAAAAGCGCACACTTCATCCAGGTGAGTGTCGAAATCAGCTGAAAAGTGCTAAATCATATTACACAGCGAAAAGTTTAGTTCACTATCTTTAAATTTTGCACGCTAAAACGGCTACCAGTTCGTCGCTGATTCCTCAGTGTAGCCTTTGTTCATTTCACCTGTGCTGCTTCGCCTGTTGGCCACCTTCTGGTGATTCTGACGTTCTGTTCGTCTCCTGAAGGGATTAATAGCTCATTGACTCTCCTGGCTTTGGAACGACTTTAGCCACTTCGGGATTCGGCGATGCATGTTGATCGTCATCACTCATTCCCTCCAAGTTATACTATTCAAAATCTACTTTGAAGGACCTTGCTATCGTCAAATACATTTTTATTAATTTTTTAACTCCGGAAGAGTCATAGTAAAAAGGAAGAAGGACTTTACTAGAGAAACTTGTGATTTCGATTGTCCTACACTGTCTCGGTTTGCACTGATTAGATATGATAGTGGTCAGCGATACTGTAATAGGTCTTTATGTCGTCTGTTATCCACTACTGATTTGGGAAAATGGGATCCAGCAGCGGCTTTTTCCCTCAGGAAGCGATTAAGCCAGCAGTGAAGTGATGTGTCTGGTGGATGTACCTAATGACAAAGTCCGTTTGCAGAATGCATTTCTTGTTGGATATTTGAAAGAAAAGTGTCAATCACAAAGTGTCATTTCAGCTGTCCAAACCGTTTTGTTTTTTTTTAGATTTTGCTTTTTCGCTGTTTCTTGGACGGATGCTTATACACATACGCGTAAGCATATTTGCAGGTCTTAGTCCCCCGCCGCTTCTCCTCCAATTTCACCTTTCCTTCGTCTAACCTGATTTTGAGTTAAAATCAAAACTCAGATAAGCAACTCAAGTTATAATCTTTTTTCTACTCGCATGACTTTGATTATTTGTTCTGGATAACTATGACAAACTGATATGTGCATTTCGAAGAGATGAAATTACTGATTCCAATCGTGTCAGCACATGTGGTCATTTGGTATTCAGATTGGCTAATTCGTAAAATTTGCACTAGTACTCAATATCCAGAGATAAACTGGGATTGCTTTTCTTTTGTTTCTGGGTATATTTCGATTCTTTCAGTCGCTCTTGGACTGACGTTTCTGCAAGACGGTCAATGAAATCGGTTTCAGTACTAAATGCAGTGTTGCGTGTTTTTGCATTCCAGTGATTTTGCGTTTTTATGCGCTTTTGCTGTGCGCTGTTACAGCGATCGAAAACACATACTGTCGATAGATCGCCCGAGTGTACGCGTGCGTTCGGAAGCGAGTGAACATTGTCACTCTCAACTCAGCAATCAGGGAAGCTGGAAGGCTGATCATATTCCCATCCCAGCGTCGCCCTTCTGTTTTAAAATCTTCGTTCACACGCGCCTTGATCTCGCTACGGGCACTGAAAAAAACGTGAAGATTTCTTTAGCAGGAAACGATTTCGCAAGCATCGGCAATCTCGTTATCGACTACCAATTATTACATGCGAAAATTTTTAAAAAAAAAGACTTGTTTGTTCCAGATGCGTCGCATGCGGCATTTGTGGTACCATTGGTGGTTTCAGTTAATATGTGTTTTGATTGCTGCTGCACTAGCTGATCGATATGATCCCCAGTCAACATCTTCTGCTGTGTACATCCGGAAGCCTTCCAGTAGGGATAACTCGATGACTCGGGAGTTTCGTGAAGGAATGCATCGAATTATGAGTAAGTTAGCTTTTTTTAAACTCTCTTCTTCCGTGTTTTCAGCGGAACTCTTATTAATTGCAGTAGTTGAAAATTTGTCAAATTCCACAAAAAACACTGAATTTGGAATTAAAAAATTGAACTGGAAAAAATATTCGTTCGTTCGCGTGTTTTTTACTGATTTTGTGCATCGAAAGTCAGCAACTATTTGTGGCTAGCAGAGGCCACAAAGGAGTTTAGTTTTGATTTCATCGATGCTCGTTTAATGAAATAACTAGAATCTTTGGGTGGCGAATTTGGAGACGACAAGCGATGCACCAGCACTTATGCTTTTAACTCACACTCACCAGTAAATCTTAGGCAAAAAGTAAGCATTCCATTCTGATCAGAAAATAGAAGGCTTGGAAAACTCGCGTAATATTTGCTGTATAGCTGCGACGGCGTTCGGAAGTATCACAGTAACATCATTAACACGAAAGAACTGCGCCGATTGCCTGGTGAAAGAATTACGCTCATTATTAACACGAATTACGCCATTGCTTAGTACTCCCAGTATTTATAAATAATTATTGAATGTTTTTGTGACTTTTTTCTAATTTAATTGTTCATCGATAGCTAATCTAAGTCACTTTTCACTCTTTGCTAACTAAGAATGTATTATGACACACATCCAACATTTTCAAACTAAAAACTCCTCGGATTTGGCAGCACTGTCTTGCTTTTTCAATTTTTCCCGTACGCTCTTGCATTTCTTAGTGTCTTTGAACATTTTTTCTCCGAACTATTGTGGGAGGGCTTCCTTCGTAACTGAATTTCACGCCTCCTAATTATGCGAAGCACCTCATTTGCAGAGATTTACCACTACGATAATTTGACGGATTGTGAACAAGCTTGTGAAGTACCATGTGGCACGACATATGTTATCCGGAACGACGTCGATGAACGACGTCAATACACTTGCACGCAGCGTAAACTGCCTGTAATTTCGGCATTTATTGATGTGAACAATACGGGAGTCCTTACTTTTGTCCTAGCAGCTGCTTTGGTTAGTTGTGGCATTTAATGAATTTTTTAAAGATTTTTTCTAAGTTGTTGTTCGAAATCTAGGAAATACCGGGCGCAAGCTTTGTATTAGAACTTTACTCGCGTATTGATTATTCTCAGTTCCAGTTCTAACAGCAGGGCCAGTTCTGCTAACGCTGAGCAGTTTTCAAGCGGCCTGTGCAAACATCTACCCCAGACCTGGAATGAAATATGAAAAAAAGCATGATTTTGGTGCATTTGCACATTTCCCGAATCAAAAAAATTTTCCGTTTTTTGTCTTAGCTCTTAGAGCTTGTTGTAACGAGCAAGTTTCACCACTGAATAAGACCTCGCAGTTTGGTTCAATGCAAATTTATGGGCTTTTTCGTTTTAGCGCTATCATAAGTAGTAAGGGGGAGTAACTCTCATGTCTGGAATCCAGGCATCTACGTATTCAACGTTATAGATATTCCAGATTGTTTGCGGTCTGCTGCTAATCACATGCTGCTGTTGCATTCGTTGGGGGTGTGCATGCTTCCGGCGAATGTATCGGTCGCACAATTTGTCGAACGATCCTCTGGTCAATGGGGAATTCAAAGAGTCACTCGATTCGAAAGATATCGGCTATCTCAAAAAAGAGGAGACAATCAGGAAGATTGTTACCGTATAATACTTCAGACACTAACGTACGCAGCTTTGATAAAAGTGTCCACCTCATTTTTAGCTTCACGCAGCCATGGTGGCGCCTTGGGCATTAAAACACATCTAAAGAAACAAAAAAAAAGACCCCGCATTGCACGATAAATACAATTTATGTGTACGTGGCTCTTCATCTGTGCAGCTAACAACTTATTCTGTTACTCCGACCAGTACCACATGGCTTGGTGGACAGCTGTTGACGATCCCATTGTTGTTTCGTCTCCTGAAGGGATTACCGACTTAACGGTTCTCTGATCAGAAGCAAATGATAAACCTTAGCTGTCACGGTGCGCTGCATATGTCTGCTGAGTATCGGTAAAAGTTATTGCTGCTGGACCAGGCTGAAGTAACCTTACCAACTAGGAATCACTTGTTTATAATTAATGGCATTTTTAGGCCATCAAAAGCTCAAGCTCATTCGTACTTCTTTTTCTAAATGCAGTTGGAGTGCACTTTCAACTAAATTTTTTCCTTGCTTCTGTAAATAACTTTTTTGCTTTTTGGCAAATTTTCCACCTCCTGAATTTTACGTATTTTAAATTGCGTTGCAGAGATGAAATTTTAACGTCCAATAAATTTTGCATTGTTTTTTTAAATATCTTGCACTTTCCCTTGTTGTGATGACATTCCCAAGACTCCATTTAGTGTGAAGAATATCCGTGGATTAGTTCCTTTTTATCGCCTTCATGTTCTTTGGATAATTGGTTTCAAATAGCAGTGCTTCTTCTAATGCATGGAATTCACAATGCTCTGTAATTCATTTGAAAAGACCAAAACACATGCAGTTATTTTGAAAAATGGTGTTTTTTTGGGAAAAAAATTCTACTGAGTTTTGATAAAAGCGCGATTATTTCTCGGGGAAAAAATGTGTAATTTTGACTGCTACGTTAGTGTACCTGCGAGTTCAGTAGTGTTTCTGCTACTTCACCGACTATTCACTTATTGTTATTCTTCTGGTGATCTCGAGACTGTTCCTTCTGATACTTTTGAGAATCTGCTCCACCAAGAAGTATGTATTGGAAATTAGTGTGTCGTGTTTTTCGAAAACTCTGGAAATTTATGAACAGCTCATCGGCAGAAAAACAAAGCTTAGAGGGAAGTGTTGAGTTTTTCAAAAAGCTTGAATTTCTACAATTTCATTGCTAATTCATCAACTTTGTTTGAACTCGTCCACCCACACTCACCCCTAAATTCAACGGTCACTGGAGAACAGGTCTCACATAAATCATTTGCATTTTATTGTTTCTGCTATGTTTTTCCATTTTGCTCTTACATGTATTTCTGTGAGTTTCCGAGAACGGCTGGGACAAGCTACTGGCTTGCTTTTAATTGCAGCCTGGGCTCGCCGAAATCGCTCAAAACGTCTCAGAAATGTGTAATTTCTTCTCCCTGAAAGCGACATTTTGCATTACCTGGAGGGTTTTGGTACCCGAAAACCTGAGTAATTATTGGCCCAGAGTAAGAATAAAGCTATTTTTGCTTTTCATTTGCAGACGATTCTTTTCGCGAGTATTTTTTGATAATTGTTTTTAGTACTTTATTTCTTGCGTTAATTTATTACTGTTCTTTTTTGGAAATGTTTGCAGCTATTTGCTGCTTCGACTTTCGATGAAAGTAGAGCTGCTAAGGTCAAAGGTCAAATTCGTCCAATCTCAGACTTTTTACAGCTTTCACCTGTCGGCAAATCCTTGACACACACAGTGTACCTGTTCACCAGAAAGTGTATAAAAAGCTCATGACATGAATTGCCAGTTTTTCTTATTTCCTACTTGTCCTAGATTTCGGGGACAGATCCTCGTAGTAGCAGCTGCTTCAAAAACTGAGTTAATTTTTGCAAAAGGGAAATTAGTAATTAAAACAACGATATTTTTTATACATCCACTCACTTGTCTCAGTTTTCTCCTTTCCCCATGCTTGCCTCTTTTCCTTACCTCAATCTGATTCTACGCTAAGTGGTGCTGAAACCTTATATGTCCGAGAATGCTGAAGGCTCTGAGGGAAACTGTCAATTTTTTTTTAGCCGGAAGAGGCAGCATTTGTACTGAGTTTCTAAAAACTGGATGGAGACATGCTGGTTCGCGACGTCACGTGTCTGCAGGTGATTCCGGCCAGATGGTTAAAATCAGCACCCGAGCGGTCTCCGAAAAGATGAAGCACACTGAAGGAGCAGTGGATACTTAACTGTAGTCGTGTAACTTATGATCAAGCTACCACCAGTGTGTTCTAGGTGTGGACGTATTACAGTAAGATCACTAACATGGCAGTTCCAAACCGAGTGACCAGGTCCTCTTCGAAATTTTGGCAATTCAACCGCAGGAAAAACTGCATATCATTTAATTACGAGATCTGGCTAGCAGAGGAATAAATTTGGTGAGGAAGGCTTAAAATGTCTTCTTACACATATTACTTAAGTCCAGTCCTTCTACTCTAGTACTTAGTACTTTATTTTTCAGGTAAAAATTATGCACGTCACGAACTTGTTCTTGTGCTCTGCAAAAAGAATTTTTTTTTTAGGATTTGCTATTATGCTCGTATTATCGTTTCTACGTTGTGCGTATGTATCCGTCTGTGTGTAGGTGCGTATGTGTGTGTCTATGTGAATATGTGTGTTTGTGTCCGTCTGTGTATACACATAACATCTGTATTTGTAAATGTAATTATTAGCTTACATTAGTGCTCATGTTTGCATATGATGATGTATGTGCTGCATGTCTGTTAGTGCCGAAATTGCATTAAACTTTTAGGAGTCAGTGAATCATTCACTACTTTGTTTGCATCCTGTGAATAAATAAAGTTTCTTTTTATTCTATCAAACCTGTACAAACATCCGGGCACTAGCAAAAGCTATGGGAAGCGTGAGTATCCTGGGAAATTTTGCCATGTGCACTTCTATTAGGAGGAAAAGATTTCAAATCGTTCAAAACAAGATTTCCGAAGCCCGCCAGAATTTTTTTCGGGTAAGTTCATAATTCGGGGATCTGAGAAGCTAGAATGCTGAAATCTTAGGGTGATGTCCCCCGTCCAAGTAGATATTAATGGGCTCAAGCCCAGCCCCGGGTAAGCGTGGCCCCCGCGTGCGAGCCCACCAAAATTTTTTTTGGGCAAGTTCATAACTCGGGATCTGAGATGCTAGAATGCTGAATTCTTAAGGGGATGTTTCCCGTCCAAGTGGGCATTAATGAGCTCAAACCCAGTCCCCGGATAAGCGTGATACCCACGTGCGGCTCCGTTAAAGTTTTTTTCCAGAAAAGCTAGAAGGCTGAAATTTTGAGGGGGTGCTTCCTCAACGTTCTGGTGGCCAGTCTTAACTTGTTTAGCTAGAAGCATTTGCCGAAAAAACCGGTGCCGGAAGCGACAAAAACTGCGGGAAACTATGCAAGAAAGGATCTTCGCGCGGGCAGCCCGTGCTTTGGCCAATTATTTTTTTTTTTTTTGAAAATGTATGATTCAGTGCCGGGTTTTGTAGCGCACTTAAAACGACGCTACAGGTATCACAGAAAAGTGGATATGAAGCGCTTGTGATATTATCCTGACATGTATTCGAATCTCTCGTTCTTGTCACATAACTTTTCCCCCTCCCCCCGGTACGTAGGCCAAGACGTAACTGTCCATCTAGGACATACAGAAATGCGAATTTTGTCACACACTGTTTGGCCAGACGAAAATTTTAACTCGATTTTTGTACTTTTTTAAAGCCGACATTTTTTGTTTCTTAAACTCTGGATTGTGGATGATTTAAAGAAATAATGGTAGAAGAAATGTGACTCTGTCCGCACTTTTCGTCACCCATTTTCAACTCGAAAACCAGAAAAGCTAGAAGGCTAAAACTTTGGGAGTATGTGTTCATACGATGCGCAACCCTCCCGTTTTAATTTCATCCCCCTCGGAAGCCGGGGTGCCGAGTACGGACGTTTTAAAAAAATATGTAGATTTTTTGGCGGAAAGCGATCTCGGGAACCACACGAGCTAAGGGGCTGAAACTTTGTAGGGATATT